TCTGTGTCTTTTGACTGGGGAGTTCAGTCCGTTAATATTTAAAGTTATTAATGAAAGATGGGTATTGAATCCGGTCATTTTTATTTCTGTTTACATTCTTGATATAGCTGTACTTTTCCACAGTTACACCTTCATTGGATTTCTTTAAGCAAACCCTTGGGTATAGTCATTCCTTTCTTCAGCTCTTTGTATTGTGTGCTGTATCCCAGAAAGAGTCTGGTGGGTGGTGCAGGCCCAGGGAAGCTGAAGGAGGTGGGGGTGGTGCCCCTGGGGCCCAGAGAAGGCACTAAGTTGTTCTCAATGAAAAGGATCAGGAAGTTGTATTGGTTCCCCAGGTGTCTGGGCCCCAAGACAAGGAGTGGGGCAGGGCTCAAACTGGGAGGAGAGACTGGCGGGGGAGATGGGAGGGTGAATGGGCCTGGGGGAGTCAAGGTGTGGAGGGTGGGGTGTGATGGACTTACCCCAGATAGAGGCCTGCTGGTAGAGAGAGGCCTGTGGCAGGTGGTGCAGGCCCAGGGAAGCAGAAGGAGGTGAGCGAAAGACTTCTTTTTAAACACAAGAGCACATACAACAAAAATGGAATTACATTAAACTAAAACCCTTCTCTACAGCCTAGGAAACAATCGAAAGATTAAAGAGACAAGATTTGTATAAACTATATCTTATAAAGGCTTAATATCTAGACTGTATAAGGAATTCCCTGCTTGACTTTGGAAATGACATGGATTTCAACATAGCTTAGCTCAAAATCTACCTCTTCCCTAGAACTCTTTCGGGATGTGATTTCCCAAGCCACGTTATCACTCTGTTCTCCACTCATAGCTGTACCACATTCTGATTCTAACCTTTTGATGTTTAGCATTCTTCCTCCCTTTTAGATTATAAACTCCTTGCTAGTCTTAGGTGCTTTATGTATATGCAACAATTATATTGAAGGAGGAAAGAAGTGTGTGGAGGCTTTGAAGTTTAGCTTGTGGTTTTTAATTTTTTATTTATTTTTCCAACACTGAAAGTCTTTTGTGTGGTGAGTCAGTTTTTTTTGCTCATTAATGCTTTCACTTTTTCCTTTGTCCAGGAAAATGCTTGTGCACGATGTGTGCTGAAATCTTGCATCTGTTGCCTTTGGTGTCTTGAAAAGTGCCTAAATTATTTAAATCAGGTAATATATTTAAATACTGCATTGAACTCTCACTTTCAAAAATTGGATTGCTGTTTATTCTTCCAAGATAAAATAAGTAAACTTAACTGAAAGAAATTCGATTTTTTTCTCAGTATTATACTTTGTACACTGATCAATCCTGTGACTGTGCTACTTCAATCCTCTTATTTTTTAAATTAGTGTGTTACTCGCCAAGATCCTTATTCTATTCATCTTTATTTAATTTAAATTTAAATTTTTTATGTGTATGAGTGTTTTACCTGCATGCGTTTAAGTACATCCATGTGTGCAATCCCATGGAGGTAAGAAGAGGGCATCTCCTGAAACTGGCATTATGGATGGTTGTTAGCTGCGATGTGGGTGCTGGGTCCTGAACCCAAGTCTTCTGCTAGTGCTCTTAACTGCTAAGCCATCCCTCCAGCCCTCTTTATTACTCTTAATTTTAATACATGGATAAAAACATCACTGGGATTCATCTTTCTGGAAAGATAGCTCTTTTCTCTTAATTCATATTCTTTTATAAGTTTTCCCTAAGAATCTGTACTTTAACTATTGTTACTGCATTTATACCAGTATTGCATTTTTAAAATTGTAATATACATTTTTTATTGAATTTTTGTGAGCATGCCTTATTTTAAATGCTGTTTGAAAGCTCTAGTATGTTGGACATCTGTTGTGCATATCTGTCTCTTTTTTAGAATCTGCCCCTTATTCAAAATCACAGTGTCTCTATAGAGATGGTTTTTTTATTAAAGTATTTTATCTATTATTTCTATTTTATGTATATGAGTGTTATGCCGGTATGTATGTAAGTGCACCCATGTTGTACATTGCCCATGGAGGTTCAGAAGGGGCCATCGGATCCCCTGGAACTGGAATTACAGATGGTTAGCCGCCATGTGGGTGCTGGGAACCAAACTTGGATCCTCTGCAAGAGCAGCAGTGCTGAACCATCTCTCCAGCCCCAGATAGTTTGTCTTTTGTTGTTGTTGTTTTGTTTGGTCAGTCTGTTAGAGCACTATGATGTTGGCCTGGGAAATACTATACAATGTTTTTTTCTCTGTGCATGCATGTGTGCGTGTGTTTTTGTGTGTGTGTACACACTTGTTCATATGTCTGTGTGCATTCATGTGTATGGAGGCTAGAGATCAATGTTGGGTGGTGCCTTCTTCTATTGCCCTCCACCTTCTTTTTTGAGCTAGGGTCTCACTGCACCAGGGGCTTGCTGCTTTAGTTAGAGCTGCTGGTCACCAAGTCCTAGGGATTCTTTGTCTCTGTCTCCTCAGTGCTGGGATTACAGGTACATGCCACTGTGCCCAGCTTTTTGTATTAGTTCTGAGGATTGAACTCAGGTCTTCAAGCATGGCAAGCACTTTACTGACTGAGACATCTCCTTAGCCTAGGAAGTGCTGTTTCTAAAGCTGGCTGGAGTAGCTACTTAGAGGATAGAAATTCTTAGGAATGTAGGTTGGGCCTCTCTGTCTTTCTGTATCTGAACAAGTAAGACTTGATGTAGTGTTCTCTTCCCAACTTAAAAAAAAAAATTGTTGTTATTATTAATAGTATAGTAGTATTGTGTGTGTGTGTGTGTGTGTGTGTGTGTGTGTGTGTGTGCGCGCGCGCGTGTGTACCAGCCAGCATGTACATATGGCAGGCAGAAGACAACTTTGTAGAGTTAGTTTTCTCTTTCCACCTTTACATGGGTTACATGAGGTTAGGTTGTCAGGTCTGCACAAGCATCTTTACCCCCCGAGCCATCTTGCCAGCCCTTGCTCCTCATTTTCATTCTACTTTTCCATTCCCTAAAAATCTATTCTAATGTATTGATGCCCCATCTCACAGGCCAAAGTGAAACTGACTTTCTGGCCATTCCCTCTGAGTGACTTCCTCTGACACTGCTGTCTCCATTCACTGCACAGTAGGAAAAGATGAGGCTGTGACTATCAACAGGCATGGCAGACTTTGCTTTACTGGGTTCTGTGACTAATGTGAGAACATGGGTAATCATATGTTCTTTCAGATCATAATGTTCTCCATAGATGGACAAGTGTTTGGAAGTGCGTTTGAAAATAATTAGTAACACCCAGAACAACCTGAAAAATTCTTCAAAATTTGGTTTGGGACCAAATCATCCTTCTGGGGGAGTTGGGGAGAGGTGGTAGATGTGCTAAACATCATTGTCCTTAAGTTCTGTACTTAGAATAAGCAGCTTTTCCTCAGAGAGACAGGCTAAACCCAGCTTTCTAGCCTTAGTTCCCACCACCTGCCCCAGTGCCTTTTTAATATTCCCAGGTGTTCCTAGAGTGACTCCCTTCCAACACTCAACTTCGTGCCCCTTGAGAACACTAAGAAATGGAAACGTCCTTCTCTGTCATCACCTGTAGATTACTGAAGAGCAGGAATCTTATTTTTCTTTGTCTTCTCAGAAGCTAACAAAGTGTGTGATGTATCTTAGGTGATTTTCAAGTTACAACAGTGACTCTTGAGGTTCAAAAAGGCCGTGATATTAAACTCCAAGTAAGAATCTCATAAAGAAACAACACAGCTTCAGAGAAGGGAGAGAAAAACCACATGATGTCAAGATAGCCCATGGCCAGTGAGAACTTCCTGTTCCCAGCTTACCTGTATTAGTTAGCTTTTGTGTCATTGTAACCAAAACGCCTGACAGAAACAGCTTAAGGAAGGGAAAAGTTATTTTGGCTCATGGTTTCAGGAGGTTTCAGTCCATCATGGTGGAGGCTGCTCTTATTATAGCAGGCCAAGCTGTGGAGAATAAGGCCCGAGCCAAGAGCTAACTAGGACCTTCAAGGACCCACCCTAGCAACCTACTTCCTCCAGCTGGGCCTTGCCTTCTGAAGGGTCTGCAGCTTCCAAAACAGCACCAGCATCTGGGAACAAGCCTTCAAAGCATGTGTTGTCCATTTGGATCTTCATTTTCTAGACATGATATTTGATATTTCAAGGGCTGTATTAAAACAGTAATAACCCAGCTGGGCATGGTAGCTCACGCCTTTAATCCCAGCACTTGGGAGGCAGAGGCAGGTGGATCTCTGTGAGTTCAAGGCCAGCCTGGTCTACATAGTGAGTTCCAGGACAGCTGGGGCTACAGGGAGACCCTGTCTCAAAAAGACCCCCCACCCAAAAAAAAGAGCAGTAATAACCCAAGCATGGGCAAAACTTTAGGGAGAATTCTGCCCTTATACTTAGTATTGTGTTTGGGACTATGAAACACAGGAATGTGGTGAGTAGTTGCATGCAGTGCTTCATGGCTCCTGTGTTGTGTGGAATGCTTCATTTGAAACCATATTGAAGATGTTAGAAAGCTTCCTGTTGTGAAAGGTAGAGCCTAAGTATCAGTTTTCTACCACAGAATGTTTTAACCACCCTCCTTATAAGATGCTTGAGAGTTGGGCTAGCACCTATCTGTTTGAAGTATGTAAGATGTGGGGGACCATGGCAGTGTTGAGAAATGACCTCCAGACACTTTCTCCTGTATTATGAAACCCCGGGGTGTAAGAGTGTGTTGGTGATGCCATACATCTGTGTAGTTGTGACCTTGGTGGTGCACTGCCAGGAATTGTGCAGTTACCTCACATTTTGCCTCCATTCTGAATCACTGTGTTCTGAACATGAAGTTTTCTTGTTTCCATATGCATAGGATTGGACCCAGACTTTTAGAACCTTGTCAGGGTGGTATGCCGTGGTGAGAGTTCAGATACTGATGATGTATTTCAGTATCAACAATATGGGATATCACAGTGAAACCTGTGTCTCGGTTTCCTCCCTCAGTAAGTAGAGAAAAATTGGTAATAGCTATCTTCATAAGTATTACATAAGGATGAAATACAGGCCAGGTGATGAACTCCTTCTTATCTGGCTCTTGGGTACCCAGCACATGTTGTTATTCTCCCGCTCCCACGGTTTCTTTTCTAAGATTTATTTTTGCTCATAGTCATGTATATGTGGGTGGGTGTGGGTATGCACATGAATGCAGATAGATGTGGAGGCCAGAAGAGGGTGTTGGATCTCCTAGAACTGGAGTTACAAGCAGTTGTAAGCCATCCTATATGGATGCTGGGAACTGAACTGAGGTGTCTGCAAGAGCAGCAAGTACTCTTAACTGCTGAGCCATCTCCTTAGTCCCTCTCCCCTTTTTTTCTTTTTAAAAACACACTCCTAATCTTGCTTAACAGTAGTGATTTACTCTAAAAAAGACGTGGCAGAGATAATTTAAAAAGCAATTCTAAAAATCAATTTTCTCTAAAGATCATCATAATATAAAAATACCGGAGTTTAGAAAGCCAAAACAAGAGCAAAATAGACATTGTGTCACCTCGCTCACATAGTTATCTTTAAAGAGCTGGGCGTGGTGGCACACACCTTTAATCCCAGCACTTGGGAGGTAGAGACAGGCGGATCTCTGTGAGTTCAAGGCCAGCCTGGTCTACATAGCGAGTTTCAGGACAGCTGTTTTTTTTTTTTTTAAAAAAAAAAAAAAAAAAAAAAAAAAAAAAAAAAAAAACCTATTAACTTGGAGGGAGGGCTTGTAGTATTTGATTTAGTGTGGTAGTATTTGATAATATATGACCCTTGTCTGTGGATAATAATGGCATATGTAGTGCTTATTATTTTGAGGAAGAAGAATATCTGCAGTGCTCTGAGCACATACTTGGAACCCAGCATGTTCCCAGCAAATGGAGACTCATTCTATAATCACATCCACATTCTGTACATTTTGAGAAGTGGTTTTTATTTGTCAGCGCTTTCAAACTTTGTCTTTTATGGTGTCCTACTTGATTTTTATGTTTAACAAGGTTTTCTTACCTCAAGATCAAGTAACTTTTTCCATTGCCTTTTTTTGTTTGTTTGTTTTTGAAACAGGGCTTCCCTATAACCCCAGCTATCCTGGAGTTCACTGTGTAGGCCAGACTGGCCTTGATCTCACAGAGATCCACCTGCCTCTGCCTCCCAGGTGGTGCTGGGATTAAAGGCGCACACCCTCTTGCCTGACTTTTGCATTGTGCTTTTTAATAGACTTCTATGGGCTTCCTTTTTTTCTTTTTTGGTTAATACTTAGCTCTGATATGTCAGAAATTCAGTCAGTTGCCCTAGAGTTAGTGATCAGTGTCTCATGCTGTGAAATGCGCATTTAGTTACATAATAAATTCCTTTTTGGTTTTTTGAGACAGGGATGTCAGTTTATAGCCCAGGTTGGCCTTGAACTTGTAGTGATCCTCATGCCTCAGCCTTCCAAATGCTGGGATTAATAAATTCCAATATGTCACAACTTGAGTCTGTGCTAGTACAGATGTTGTTTAATCTGCATATTTTATGCTGCTATAATATTTAAGTACTGTAGTTTCATTATATATGTTTAAAATCTTATGATGAGGTTCTATTCACTTGTTTGCTCTGAAATTATCCTGGACTAGTTCATAGAGCACAGTGAAATAATGATGTAAATTATAATGCCAGCTAGCCAAGAACACACCATAGGTGCTAATCACCCATTTAGAATTTTGCTTGACTTAATACATTTCAGAAGAGTATTATGTCCCCTTGTGTTGACTTATGCTATCCTGCTCTTTCTCCTGAGATTTGCATGCTGCCTATGGAAAGCCTTAAGCAGGGCTGGAAAATTCATCAAACCAAGGGGGCAGTTCAGGGAACAGAAATGACAGTAGGGGGAGGGTGTCTAAGGAAAGAGAGAGTGATGGAGACTAATGGGAAGTTCATAATTCATCTAAAGAAAGCAGTCACTACTTAGATCCTCCAGTCTGTAGCTGTGTGAATTTGTAGATAATCTCTAGCTTTCCCAATTTTCTAAGGAAAAAAACAGAATTCTTAATGTTTCTATTTTGTCTCCTGCTACTAAAATATATTGAAAACTAATTTAAAAGCAAAACCTGCAAAGTTTGAGGATTCATTGTAAATAAATAGTTCTTAGGGCTTTGCAGGGTGGTTGCCATGGGCTCCAGTTTGCTGCTACTGCTGTAGACAGCTTATGGGGTAGCAGTGAGGAGCAGAACTGAGAGGCCGTTTATTATTTATAGTGTAGGTGCTAGAATTTTGCAGACAAACAGTGAACTGTGAACTGCTCATGTTCTCTGGGTGCTTAATGTGACATGAAGGTGGTAATATATCTAGTCTAACTGAATCCACTTTTGGTGGAGAGATTATTACAACCAGAACATGTTTTTCTTTGGTTATTGGATCACTGAGGTCTTGTTCTCTAACACCATTTGGAGATAGCTTTTTCACACTGTGTGCTGGCAGATGCTCTCCTAAAATCATAAAGCTTTTCTCTGTGAGCAGGGTTTATAATGGATGATATTTTGGTGTACTACAATATATACCATAGATCTTACGAAACATAGTCCATGTTCATACATTATCAGTTTCTCTCTACATAACTGTAAACAAAGCAGATTTCCTGAGTTTTAGAGATAAAATTGAGACTAACATCTTGTAACAGATCACTTGTCTTGGAGAATTTTACCTAGCTCTTCTCATTATCTCACACTCCTCTCATGTAAGTATGTACACATTTTTGTGCACTTAAAAAAATACGTTTTAATTGATAATATTCAAGCAGCATGGTCCTCTATTCCTACCAAAATAATGAAGGAATAATAGTTACTGTTTATTTAAAGATTCACACATACACGTAGTATTGCCCAGAGCACATTTTCCTTCTACCATTACTGTCCAGCTTGTTCCTGTTAAGTGAATCATTGTATTGGGCACAGACTAATGTTAATGTGTGGTGCTGTCTGTGGGCATATTAGCTCAGTTGATAAGGAAGGCTGATGAACTCCTGAAATCTCAACTAAGTCATCTGTAGCAGAAAGCTCAGGACAGTGACCATGGAAAACCAGAGAGGACCCAGAACTTTGTGAGAACCTTAGCACGAACCCTTCTAGACTGATAGATAGGAAGCAGAGGGAAGTTGCTTTGGTATGCTGTGACATAGTACATTTTCCTTCCTAAAAGAGGTAGCTCAGCTTGACTTCTGAGTTCATGCAGCTCATCTTCATGTCCTGGGATAGGTGGAAGGGCTTGTACAGTGTCTGTGTTTTCAGTTATAGTGAAGACAGTGAAGTTGTGCGGATCAGAAGGAATATTGCCAGGAAGGATCCATTTCTACGAGGATATAGAGTTGATGGATAGAGATGAGTGCGGCCGCTTCTTTGTCTCCACCTAGACGTCTGCTGTATGAGCAGCAGATGGGCAAGAAGAAGAGAGGAGGAGGGGGCATTCCCACATGCTCTCAGATGTGCTTGTAGCTTAATTTGCAAGTGTTGGAGCCTCTGCTGGAGACAGCTGAAACGATGGTGACAGAGGAGACGGGCATAGGGCCTCTCTTGTCCTGCATGCTGTTTCAAGAAGGTTCCTGGTGGAACTAGAAAGGGAGGGCATTAGGGTTCAGCCTGACTTGTTCCTACAAGCCTAGTTGATTTAAATAGATTGTCCTGTCCAAGCATTGTGACACAGTCTATAATCCTTGCACTTCAAAGGCTGAGGCAGGAGGATTGCAAGTCCAAGATACTATCTTGGGTTACAGAGTGAGTTCCAGGCTGGCCTAAGATATACAGTGAGATGCTGCCCCCACACCCATGCACATATGGGCAGCATTAATTGGACTTGGCGTTATTAATAACAATTTTAAAAAGAAGACAGGAGGGAAACAGGGTCAGGGGCACTGGAAGGAATGTAAGGTGGTGGTGGGTGGATATGATTGAAATACATGTGTAAATGTATGAAATTTCAAAGAGTAAGTAAAATATTATTTTAAAAATTAATTAATGAGTTGCCCGATTTTCTCAATTCTGGATTTATAATGCTTTTTAAATCAGACTATATCTCATAGTCAGTGTAAATTGTTACTATGGGAGAGTATTTTCCCCTGAAAATTTGTTACTAACTACTCCTTTAGCCTTTTTGACATATCTTAAGAATATGGAGGAAAGGGCTGTGAATATGATTCAACAGTAGAGCACTTGCCTAACAAGCACAAGACCCTAGGTTTAAGCCCCAGCACTGCAAAAATAATAAACAAACCAACAGACAAACAAACAAATAAATAAAGGCATTTCTCTTCAAAGGAGTTACACTCTAGATCACTACAGACCTCTATTAGTTAAATATTGAGTTAAGAATTCGCCAGGCATGGTAGTGTATGCCTATTCTAAGCACTGGGAAGGTAGAGGTAGGAGGATCAGGAATTCAAGGCTATCCTTAGCTACATATTAAGTTTGATACAAGCCTGGACTACAGGAGACCCTATCTCTGGCTAAATAAATAAATAAATAAATAAATAAATAAATAAATAAATAAATAACAGGTAAATAAGTAAATAAATAAGTAAATGAAAGGAAGGAGGGAGAGAGAGAGAGAGAGAGAGAGAGAAGAAAGAAGGTACTGTAGCTATAGCTTAGTAGTAGAACACTTACCTAGCATGTTTGAGGCTCTATGTTTGATTCCCAGCAACATGGGAGGAAATAAAAGGAGGAAGAATTATAATAAAAAATGCTAAAAGAATAGAAGTTCTGGAGGGAATTATTAAAATCGAAATTTGCATACATGGCCTGTGTTTCAGAAAGGATAAGAAAGGGGTTTCCATAGACTATAAGTGGGGTTAATATAAATCCTCAGCAGTACTGCAGAACAGAGATCAGCCACTTTTTTTCTGAAAAGAACCAGAAAGTATCTTGGCAATATGGGCCGTGTAATCTCTGTCGTAAATGCTTATATCTGCCAAATAAGCAAGGCATTGTTCCAATAAAACTTTATTTACAAAGGCAACCAGCAGGTCAGGTATGGCTATAACCTTTAGGTGATTGTTTGACTGTTCTTTCTGTGGAATAAATGGCTCAATGGGTATTTTTGTAAATACTTAGAAAACTAGTGAGCACTGGGAGCTGTTCTGTGTTCTTTGAGAATAGGTCTGGCTGGAACAATGCCTTTCCCCAGCAGGGTTACTGTTACACAAGTTCCAAAGTATAGTTTATTTTTACCTCTCTGATGTATTGTAGAATGTTTCAAAAGGAGTTTTGTGGAAGATAGAAAAAATATGGAGTACTGCAGTTAGATGGTTGTTCCTGCTGTCTTATAACTGATAAGACAGGCTGACAGATGACAGTATGAGGGAGCAAATAATGAATGAATGAATGAATGAATGAATGAATGAATGAATGAATGAACGAGTGAGTGAGTGAGTGAACACATGCATGCACTAGCTAACAGGAAATTTTAGTATGATTTCTTTAAAATACTTGTATATTTTCTTTTGAGATAAACATTCCAATATATTCCATCAGTATCTAGTCCCAATTTATATGATGAAATTCTATGTTATTACAGTCATCCTGAATTCCTTGGAGATAATTCCATCCTTGCCCTTTGCTGAAGAAACTTAAGAACCATAGGCAGTGACCTATTTGGTACAGTTCTTTCTCCTCAGCTGTGAAATGTTCTGCATCTTGAACAGCAAAGGAATGGTTAACAGTGTATCACTAGTCCCCCTACTCATGAATTTGAGATATCCAGAAAAGGTGAAATTCTGTTTGATTTTTGGAAGACAGGGAGGAAGTTCATGGATATTGAAAAGGCTTGTATATGTTCTTACAGGACCCAAATTAAGCCAGTTGCAAAGAAGCTCTTTTTACCATAGCAGGTTTTACTTTTCTTCTTTCTTCCATTTTGCCTCTTTGTGTCTCATATTTTCTGTGCCCAGTCTCAGTTTTGTTTCTTTTTTCATAAAAGTTGTGGTTTTGAATGAAGTCATTTTAAAAAGCTGTTCTGTAACCATGCATGGCTTGTGTCTTTTGAAAGTATGTTTCTGTTGACTGATGAAAATCTCTCCTTTTGTCCAGAATGCATACACAGCCACAGCTATCAATAGCACCAACTTCTGCACCTCAGCAAAGGATGCCTTTGTCATTCTGGTGGAAAATGCTTTGCGAGTGGCCGCCATCAACACAGTGGGAGACTTCATGCTATTCCTAGGCAAGGTAAGGCCAAGTATATTAACAGAGACAAATATATTGTCTGAGTAAATGTTTTGTTTTTTAATTTACAAAATATTTAAGCCCACATAAAATTAGAAGTGATTTAATATGTAGCAAGCACTTACAATACCTTTAATGTACATGAGGTACTTTTTAACTTTACATATGTTATGTTCATTTAATCTTCACGATACATTTGTAAGGTAAGTTCTATTATTCTCAGTTAACGGATGAGAAAATGGTGATACAGCAAGGCAAAGTCTATGTTTCTCTGTATGTATTTTGAACTATAAAGAATCAGATGCTGGGTATGGTGGTGCACATCTTTAGTCCCAGCATGTAGACTCAGGGGCAGGAAGATCTCTGTGAGATCAAAGCCAGCCTGATCTACATAGCAAGTTCCAGGCCAGCTAGGGCTACAAGGAGACTCTGTCTAAAAAAATGAAAAAAGGAAGACTTAAGAGAGCTGGTGAGATGGCTCAGTGGGTAAAGGCACCTGCTGTGTAAGCCTGGTGACCTGACTTCAATGTCTAAAGCCAACACTGAGGTAAAGGAGGAAGACGTCACAGAGTTGTCCTCTGACCTCCACACATGCATTAAGGCACTCTCGCCCCCACCCTCACCCCCTTGCGACATGTGCACACACTAATAATAATAATTTTTTAAAGAAGAAATTAGGGAACTTGAGAGATGGCTCTGTGGTTAAGAGCAATCCCTGCTCTTGCAGAGGACCCGGGTTCAAATCCCAGCTCTCACATGTCAATTAACAACTGTCTGTAACTCAAGTTCCTGGAGATCTGACACCCACTCTGACCTCCACAGGCACTGCATGACACAGATACACTCACAAACATGCAGGCAATACATTCATACACATAAAATAAAAATAATAAATAATAAATTTTTTTAAAAAGAAGGAATTAGGAGGGCTCCAGGTGTAGCTCAGTAAAACACTTATCCAACATATGCAAAACTATGTGTTTGCTAGCCAGCGCCATACACAGAGAATTAGGAACCACAATTGGGGTAGAACTGGGTGTGGAGCCTAAACTCCTGGTTTAAATCCTGACTCTTAATACTGGTTGTGTGACCGTTTATGGGGGTAATACTAGGGACACAGGAATAATAATAGAGCCACACTTCTGGTGTCATGAGGCCCACACTGGATAATATAAGCAGGGCATCTAGTACAGTGATTGATACGCTGTTAATTCTGGGTGGATGTTAGCAGTTTGGGAGTGAATATTAGATATTGTCATATATAAATTCTTTTAAAGTAGAGCTATTAGGGGATGAGACCTGCTTTCCTTAGATGTGTCTGAGAAAAGAGTTTATTCCATGCTGTCAAAGTCTATGAAATCACAACTAGCATTACATTTAGATTTCATTGTATCTGCATTTAAAACAAAAAAATATTCAGAAAGTTTGAAAAATGAGGAAAGAATATTGCATTAGTACTAGTGTTAGACTGCTATCTAGTGTTTGTGTTCTCTCCCAGGGATACGTCACAGACCTCTGTTTCTGTAGTAAAACAGTCATAGCATACGCACCTCCTGGGTCCATGCCTTCCAGTTTACAGTATCATACACCTTTCCCAGCTTGCCTTGATAGGCTTCCTATTTGCTCATGATAGATACAGTCAATATCCCATTAAACACTATCCGTAAATGTTTTCCTACTAATGAATACTGAGGTTGCGCCAGCCACTGTCCTTTTAAAATGTCTTTTAAGGGAAAATTCTTTGATTTAATAGAAGCATATTGAGCTGTGTCATTTGAAGTATGTAGCTTTGTAGGTAAAGACCATCTAAAATGTAAGGAGAATTATTTGAATATTTATAATCAAGTTTACATCATAATAAATTTGTTCTTGTTGTATTTTTACACAAGAAGACATTTTTTATAGTAAAGATAGAATGAATTAGTCTTTTTTAAGATCCTGACACTGCTCTTTTTTTTTTTTTCCTGGGCTTTTTGAGACAGGGTCTCCTTGTAGCCCCAGCTGGCCTAGAACTCACTATGTAGACCAGGCTGGCCTTGAACTCACAGAGATCCGCCTGCCTCTGCCTCCTGAGTCCTGGGATTATAGGCATGTGCCATCACACCCGGCTCTCTGACACTGCTCTTGACTATAATAGCCTATATGGTATACAATTGATCTTGCAAGGCTCTAGAGTTTTTGCTTACAAATTTATAATTTATTCCTAGAGCTAAAATAAAACAAATCTCACATGCACGAGGGGGAGGGAGGGAGCGGGGAGGGGAGAGAGAGAGAGGGAGAGAGAGAGAGAGAGAGAGAGAGCCTTTTTTAAAGGTAAAACCATTTAGAAGAAAAGGGGAGAAAAATTACATTAACTGGCAGTGCTGGTTCTCCCCAAGCAGGTGAGCCATTACTGTTTAATCTTCATTTCGTAGCAAAGGGAACCAAAGTGTTGGGAAGTGAAGGTGGCTACATTTTGAGAGCTAGAATGTGGCAGAGTTGGCGCTCACCCTCGGGCCCGGCTGACTTCTAACTGCACTGTCATTGTTCCAACTAGCATTAAGTCTGTCCTTGGACTTTAAAAAAAAAAGAGCCTTTTTATTTAATGATTGCAATGATGGCAGAACTATCCCTGTAAATGGTTCTAAATACAAAATAAATGTAGCATTATTTATTATAGTGGCCCTCTGTAAAAAATGTGATAGTGAGCAGTAGGGAAATGAGGGGTTTAATAGCCAGACTGTTAAGTGTGTTCTTGTTAGGAGTTTATAATATGATGAAGAAATATATAACTCAATCAACAAAAAGGCTGAGCAAAATTACTAGGCTGTCACAACACTGTTTAAAAATGTGTGTTACTGACAGGACTTGAAGCTTGGTGACACAGCTTGTACTGAGCATGTAGGAGGCCCAAGCTTTGATCTCCAGATTCACCAAATAGAAAATAACGATAATGTGTAATGAAAAAGAAGAAAAGCTAATTATCTCAGAATGTCACTGGTGGTTGGTTACCTTTGGATTTTGAAAGTATGGACAACTCCACAGCCTTCCCCATACGTTTCATAAGACAATGTTCTCCCTATTTAATATACATCCTTTCTATAAGGAAAAATGCATAAATAAGAAATACATGGTTTTAAATTGGCTTTGAGTCTTTTTAGTGTTCTAGTGACCTGTCTGAAAACTTTCCCTTTAGGCTTATCGTAGCCCTTCGTTCATTCCACGAACAGAGAAGGGTTTACTAGTACTGCACTACTGTCGGTCTTCAGTGCTAGTTGGGTGTTAGCCATTAAGCACAATTTAAAAGGAAGGGAAAAGGGAAGTTTGGTAAATTTTTTTCACTTGGTATTATGAGCATTTTAGTTTTAGCAAACATTTTCTAAATATGGTTATACAATTTTTGTATCATTTACTTGATTAATTCTCTCTCTTTTTTTCTTTTTGGTCCTTTTGAGACAGGGTCTCCCTGTAGTCCCAGCTGTCCTGGAACTCACTATGTAGACCAGGCTGGCCTTGAACTCACAGAGATCTGCCTGCCTCTGCCTCCCAAGTGCTGGGATTAAAGGCGTGCACCACCATACCTGGCTATTAATTCTCTTTTTTAAAAAATTATTTTTCGGGGCTGGAAAGATGGTTCAGTGGTTAAGAACACTGACTGTTCTTGCAGAAGACCAGGGTTCAAATCCCAGCACCCACATGGCAGCTAACAACTGTCTGTAACTCCAGTTCCAGGGGATCTTACAGCCTCTTTAGTCCTCTGCGGGCATGGGAAAACACGGGTGCACTTACCTATGTGCAGGCAATACCTGCATACACATAAAATAAAAATAATAAATAAAATTTAAAAAAAATTATTTTTATTTTATGTGTATGTATGTATTGTGTACATGTAGGTAAGTACACCTATGTCATGCAATGCCTGCAGAGGACAGAAGAGGCTATAGGATCCCCAGGAACTGGAGTTACAGACAGTTGTTAGCTGCCATGTGGGTGCTGGGATTCAAACCCGGGTCTTCTGCAAGAACAGTCAATGTTCTGAACCGCTAAACCATCTCTCCAGCCCCAATTCTCTTTTTTTTAACTTAAACTATTCTCAAATTTTTTCTAGTAAGGTATGTTACAGTGACACTTCCTTGCAACAATCCTCCTCTATTACTTATGGCTGGCTTTTTTCAGACCTAGAATCGTAGAAGTGGAATGACTTAGAACTCTTTGTATTGCCAAATTCCTTTCCAGAAAAATAAAATTTTAATAATAACATTATTGGGGCCTGGAGAGATGGCTCAGTGGTTAAGAGCACTTGCTACTCTTCCAGAGGACCCGAGTTCAGTTCCCAGCACCCACATGGGGACTCACAAGGGCCTATAACTCCAGTTCCATGGGCTCTGACTCCCCCTTTTAGCCTCTGTGGGCACCTATGATATGTCATGCATGTGGTATACACACATGCGTGCACACAGGCAAACATTCATAGAGGAAAATAAAAACAAAAAAATCTAATAATAACATTGTGGAAAGTGACTTAAAATTGCAAGATATTTGAATATACATTTTAAGAACTGGAGAGATGGTTCAGTGGTTAAGAACACTGACTGCTCTTCCAGAGGACCTGGATTCAGTTCCCAATACCACATGGTGGCTAACAACAGTACCTAACTCCAATTCCAAGGGATCCAATGCCCTCTTCTGACTTCTGTGAGTAGTGTGTGACCCGGGTGCACTTAAATACATGTAGGCAATACACTAATACACATAAAATAATAAATATACATTTAAAAATTAACTCAAAGGACAAGAAAATAAGAAAAAGTATCTTCTGATTTTCTAACACAGGAAGATAAGATTATTTTCTTTTTTAAAAAATATAGTTCCGAGAGGCTGGAGAGATGGCTCAGATGTTAAGAACACTTGTTTTCTGTCTGGCTGCTCCCGGAGAGGACCTGGGTTTGATTTCCAGCACTCACGTGGTAGCTAACAAAAATATAGTTCTGATCTGGGGGTATAGCTCAGTTGTAGAAGATTCA